ATTTGAAGGTGACGGTATTTCGGCTAAATCGGATAAGAACTGTAGGTAATAATTAGCCTGTTGTCCTAGCTGAAATTTAAATAATAAAATCTATTCCCATTTGAAATATATTCTATTAATTAATGTTTGTTTTTAGTAGTGGAGATTGCAAGATAAAATCCTTTGAATATTATAATCCCACTATCGTCTTATTGGAATTGAATCCATTAAAAATAGTTTACATCAGGAGTTTTATAATTCTGTTAAAAAACAGAATCTTTGACTTTCGTATGCCGAAGTTTTTATCAACATAATCGTTGACGTCCTTTTAATTTTGGCAAAGTAATTTGTGTACTGTACTAATATCGAAATCACTTTCTATAACGGCGGTATCCTGACCGCAGAGCTATTCAGCGAATTGTACAGCAATTACGACGACTTCGACAACATTAACAATTAACCAAAGGGTTTGGTTAAATCGTAATGGCGTCGATCAAGTTGATGCTTCTGCTTTAATTGTATTGTCTACGGTTCACCTTAATCCATATGCATATCAAGTTGTACCAGATTGAATTTCAATTATAGGAGTTTTTCGAGCAACTGCCGGTAGAACTTTTTAAATATGTGCTGTTGGACGGTATAATAATAAATATTTCTTAATAATTACAAAGTTAATAATTCTAAACTATTAATTTTAAGAATTATTTCCAAAGTGGTATAGTTAAAAATTTAATAATTATAAAAAATCTAATCCGTTTATTGTAAAAATATCTTTCGCGCGAAAAGGATTTAATAATTCTTTTATAAAAGAAGTAACAGTTATGTTAATTTATTTTTTAGTTAGGTACATAATTTAGTTATGAATTTGAGCTTAATTTAGTTATGAATTAGCTATGAACACCTCATCAAATGTATGTTCAATTTGAAATTTTATTGTACTATATTATCTTGAGAAAAACAATATTTACGGTAAAAAAATATTGAATTAAACCACTAATTAATTTAAAAAAACTAAGAGAGATTCATAATTTTTCAATTGTAAACTTGATCTAGTCGATCGAATAAAGAGCGATGTTGCATTATTCATAAAAGTTCCAAAAGCGTTTTATGAAGCTTGTCATTGCTTGTCATTACTATTTTCGAATCGCGTCTGTGGTGGCTAAATCGAGATTTCGTTCTAGCCGTTAGAATTTCGGCGGTAACAAACAAGTGAATTTCTGCAACTAATCGATGTGATAATGGAAATAGAAATACTATTTCTTTCATATACACAAAAAATTAAGTAAAGGCCCAATATACAAAAACCAAATGAAAGTTTAGCTTATACAACATATTTACGATTAATATGGTAAGTTTTTATTTATGTTTTATTTAAAATTGACAGTACATGACATTTTTAATAATCAAAGTAAGATATTTCACATTTTTGTTAACAAAGGGCTATTTTAAAGGCTGAAAAGTTTGTTTCATTTGGTGTTACAAATTCGAACAATTTTGAATCGATAAATCGATTGACCCTCTATTTTTTTAACGAATGAAAGAATAACTTGGAAAGAAGGTTGAAAGAGGATCTTAGGAGGATGGAAAGGGGTGGAAGAAAGCTTCAGTGCTTCGGCTTCTTTGCACAGCTGCATCACGTGCGATGCGCGCGCAAATTCAAGCGATTATGCAAATTTCGCATTAAAATGCATTTTATCGAAATCTCCGACTATTCGGCGAAAGGCGAACACGAAAGGCGTCGTGACGCTCTATGGATTTACGCTTGTGGTTTGCCTTTCCTTACCTCTTAATTCATTGTTTGTAATTACATCAGATCGAAGCCTCCTTTTTCATTTAGTATTTTGCTCTTTGGAATTTTTAGTCTTTTTTTCAATTGTAAATCAATTGTATCGCTTAAAAAAATGTTTATTCCCTTTTTTTTGTTATATCAAATAATCCGTACTGGATATTAGAGAATTGATGTATTATTATGTAAATATTGCATACTCTTTCTTACTTCCTACATTATTAATTTATGTGAGTATTACAGTATTATATTATTTTCTATATTGATCGTGAGTGCCGTTTTATAAATTTATACAAATCAAATTATACATTCTTTTCGCAAGAAAATAAACTCACCTTTCCACCGAGCTTCGCTGCCAACGACAGGAATGTGAAGAAGACTGTCTCGATACGTCTTCCGGTACGTCAGCTGTTGTGCTTTAACATTTGTTTATGCCGAAGCTTCGATTAGTGGACCAAAGAAAGTTCTTGTTCAGAACTTTGCTGAGCTGTACAAAAGATTACCGATGAAATGCCGGCTGATTTCTCGCGACTGACTTTTCCTCACCGAGGAATTTGTTTACGACGGAATACCGTGGATGTCTGTCCTAGAAGAG